TGTTATTTCAACTGTTACAGTCGGTACTGTCTCCTTCACCCCTGTTATTTCAACTGTTACAGTCGGTACTATCTACTATCACCCCATTATTTCAATATTATACCTTTTGAAATTTACATTTATGTCCAGAAAAAAACTTGTGAAAATGTATTGATCAAATTCTGGTTTCATTATATACTTTAACCATTGTGTCCAGAAGAAGTTTGTTACGTAATATTTGATTGTAAATAAGATGTTTAAATAACCCATTGTAAACGAGGATGTCGTACATTATTCTGTACGGAAAGAAAAATATGTTCTATTTTTTGAAGGAACTTGGCAAATCTTCTTAATTAACCGCCACTATTAGTACCGATGGAGTATTTGCTGCTCTGAAGGAAACTGAAACCTAAATCACGTGTTGAGCTGTGGCAACGAATCGGTGTACTTTCTCACACGAAGACAAAATGAGAACATTTTCCAAAACAAATAAAGTAACACTTGCTCGGTTGAAAGTTGTAGTGTTTAACTGTATGGAGCGATTTTGTTTAAAGGCATTTAACATCGACCCACTGTGTAATAATAGTTGGTTCCACTGGAGCGACAGTAAACAAACAAACAATAACGTTAATGGTTAGTAAAGCGAAAAGACCACCGTGACCTCGCTGGCGACTGTGTCAGTGGCGAGACTCTTTAAATTACCCCCTCGTGCCGCCGCACCAAACTACTAGTGGTTGAAGAGAGCAGTCGTGCGGGACAGTTCCTCTTCTTTTTTTTCTTCCTCCCTGCCGCTGCTTGGCTACTAAAAGCAAAGTTTTGACACTGATGACTAGAAGAATATCCCATCAGACTGGCTTCCTGAAACTAAAGAAATACACACAGTGACTAAGGGCGCCGAAATGCTCGGTCTAGCCTAACCAAGCGTGCTAGTAATCAGGCGGTCGCCAGGGGTTCTGCTGGCAGCGCGCCATACCAGAGCGTCGAAATTCTCAAACCGCCTCGGATTCGGCGGCAGAGACATTTGGTGACGGCGCCAAGTCTTATCTGTCCCGGCAACACATGGGATAGCGGCAACAAAGTGAAAAAGAGATAAATTAATACGGTCGTGAAAGAAATACGAAGTCGGCTCCATGTTAATCACGTTAATATTTACTGCATGCCTGGGCAAGCTCGAAAACTTCATCGTGCGAAGGAAGTGCTTTGGAATAACAAAATAATATATTATGTAAACCAAGTCACATCTCGTGAG